TCTCTAGTCTTTCCTATTCTATTATTCTCCTCTATTTCTTTGCACCGATCACAAAGTCCTAATTTATCACTCCCTACCTGTTCTCCTTTGGTAACCATAAATTTGTTTTCTATGTCTCTGAATCTATTTCTGTCTTGTAAGTAAGTTTATTCATATTGTGTTTTTCGATTGCACATATAAGTGCTATTATATGATCAGTCCTTCCGTGTTGCTGCCAATGGCATTATATCATTCGTTTTTTGTGTTTGACTGAGGAATATTTCACTCTGTGTGTGTGTGTGTGTTTATGTTTGTGTGCATACACACTAGATTTTCTTTATCCATTCATCTGTATTGGCTGTTGTAAACAGTGCCGCTGTGAACATTAGGGTACATGTATCTTTTCAAGTTAGAGTTTTTTATTTCTCTAGATATATGCCCAGGAGTGGGATTGCTGAATCATATAGTAACTCTGTTTTTAGTTTTTTAAAGAACTTCCAGATTGTCTTCACTGTGGATGCACCAATTTTCATTCCCACTGATAGTGTGGAAGGGTTCCCTTTCCTCCACACCCTCTCCAAAATTCATTGTTTGTAGACTGTTAAATAATGGCCATTCTATCTAGTGTGAGGTGGTACCTCATTGTAGTTTTGATTTGCATTTCTCTAAAACTTAGTGATATTGAGCATCTTTTCATGTGCCTGTTGGCCATTTGTATGTCTTCTTTGGAAAAATCTTTATTTAAATCTTCTGCCCATTTTTTAATTTTTTTCTTTGTTTTCTTTCTCAATATTTAGCTGTTTGTGCATTTGGAAATTAATCCCTGGTTGATCGTGTTGTTTGCAAATATTTTCTCCCATAAATTGTCTTTTCATTTAAAAACTTAACAAGTTTGATTAGGTCTCATTTGAGTTTGCTTTTATTTCAATTACTCTATGAGTTAAATCCAAGAAAGTATTGCAGCAATTCATGCCAAAGAATGTTCTGCATATGTTTTCCTCTGGGAGCTTTATAGTATCTGGTCTCACATTTAGGTCTTTAGTCCGTTATGAGTTTGAGTTTATTTTCGTATATGGTGTTAGAGAATATTCTACTTTCATTCTTTTGCCTGTATATATTTTTCTAGCATCACTTATTGCTCCCTTGTATATCCTTGCCTCCGGTGTCATAGTTTAATTGATCATGAGCACATGGGTTTGTTCTGGGCTTTCTGTTCTGCTCCATTTATCTGTGTCTCTGTTTTTTGTGCCAGTGCCACGCTGTTTTGATGACTGTGTTTTTGTACTATATTTTGAAGCCAGGGAGTGTGATTTCTCCAGCTGTGCTCTGTCTCAAAACTGTTTTGGCTATGTGGGGTCTTCTGTATTTCCATACTCATTTCAAAAGTTTTTCTTCCAGTTCTATAAAAAATGCCATTGATAATTTGATAGGGATTAGTGTTGAATCTGTAGATTGCCTTGGGAAGTGTGACCCCCTTTAACAATGTTGATTCTTCCAATCCAAGAACATGGTTTATCTTTCCATTTGTTTGTGTTGTTTTCAATTTCTTTCATTGGTGGTCTTACAGTTTTCAGAGTATAGGTCTTTTGCCTCCTTAAGTAGGTTTATTCTTAGGAATTTTGTTCGTTTTCTTGTGATGGTAAATGGGATTGTTTCCTCAATTTCTCTTTCTAATCTTTCTCTGTTAGTGTATAGAAATGCAAAAGCTTGTGTGTATTAATTTTGTATCCTGCAATTTTACTGAAGTGATCAGTGAGCTCTAGCAGTTTTCTGGTAGCATGTTTAGAATTTTCTATGTATAGCATCATGTCATTGGGCACAGTGACAGTTCTACTTCTTTTGATGTTTGGATTCCTTTTATTTCTTTTTCTTCTCTGATTGCTGTGTCTGGGATTTCCAAAATTATGTTGAATTATGGCAAGAGTGGGCATTCTTGTCTTGTTCCTGATCTTACAGGAAGTGTTTTCAGTTTTTCACCATTGAGTATGACATTATGGGTTATCATATATGGCCTTTATTATGTTGAGGTATGTTCCCTCTATGCCCACTTTCTGAAGAGTTTTTATCACGAATGGATGTTGAATTTTATCAGAAGCTTTTTCTGTAACTTTTGAGGTGATTGTATCATTTTTATTCTTTAATTTGTTAATATGCTCTATCACATTGATTGATTTCTGAGATTGTAAAATCCTTGCATCCCTGGGATCAATCTTGCTTCATGATGATGTTTGATACTTTCAATATATTGTTCCTGAAATACTTGGTTCTAATTCTTTTAGACATATACCTAGACGTAAAATTTATATGTTGTATATATAGTATTTCTTGTTTATCTTTTTAAGGAACCACCAAACTGTTTTCCCAAATAACTGTGCCAGTTTACATTTATCGTTTCATTCCATTATATTCAAAGAAGATAGTTTATCTGATTTGTTGAGACTTGTTTTGTGTTCTGGCATTTAGTCCCTCTCAGACAATGTCCATGTGCACTTGAAAAGAGTTCACAGTCTACTGTTGTTGGGTGGAGTCTACCATTTTTAAATTTCCTCTTTCTTGAATCAACATTTGTTTGGTTCCTCAGCTGTGTCCAGCTTTTTGTAACCCCAGGGCTGATAGCCCACCAGGCTTCTCTGAACATGGAATTCTCCAGGCAAGAATACTGGAGTGAGTAGCTATTCCATTCTCCAGGGGCTCTTCCTGACCCAAGAATTGAAGTGAGGTCTCCTGCATTGCAGGCAGATTCTTTACCATCTGAGCCACCAGGGAAACCCATCTTTGTCTGATTTCCAGAGTTCTCATAATTGATTCTTACAGTTTTTACTTATTATTTTCAGTTTTTCTGTGTAGGGGTAGGAGTTTGAAGCTACCTGCCCCACCATTTTTGCTGACATCTCTCAGCAATTACTTTTTAAAAGAAATATTTTATAATGTCCCTTTAGTATTCTGAAATAAAATTTATAGATAGCATAACTTAAAACATACAAAAGTTTTTAAAGGTTGCTGTAGTGCATTCATTGTAATGTAAAGGAGAACTAAAAGGAAGTAATTTATTAAAAATAGTATGAATTTCAGTAAAGTAAATGTTTCCATATGACACTGGAAGTCATAATGAAGTAGTGATATGTTTGTAACTTTAAAACAGTTGGATTTAAGAGATGTAAGAAACTTAGATTTCCTTTTGTGCAAATGCTAATAAATGAGAGTAAAATCAATTCCTAAATATCAGAATTTCTTATATATATACACGAAATGAGAGAAACCACTTTTAGAGAAGTCTATAAAATACCCATACAAATTACAGATGAAAGAAGTTAAAGAGGTGAAGGAAAGGAAAAAGTATAATGTTCATACAAAGGTACTGGGCCTTACTTGAAATGTAATCATTTAGTAGATAATGAAGACATATCAGAGAACACATCTTTTATTTTGAAATCCTAACATAAGTCAGATATTTTAGTTTTGAGTATTTAAGTCCTTGGAAACAATATCGTTTAAGTGATAATGAGTCTCAAAGATGAATTTTTAAAAAGCAATAATAGGGCATGTAGGACCAGATCAAAGTTAAGTTTTAAAAATAAAGGCAGTTGCAAAATAAATGAATAATTTCATTTGGTAATTTTACACTAACTATCACATTCATTCTCCTTTCAAAGGCAAAAGGAGAAGAGGGCAGCAGAGGATGAGATGGTTAGATAGCATCACCGACATAGCAGATGACAGGGAAGCCTAGCATGCTGCAGTCCTAGCATGCATGCGGGATCACAAAGAGTAGGACACGACTTAGCAACTGAACAGCAACAGTCATGTTCATACACACACACACCCATACATGATATGCAGTATTTTTAGGACAACCAAGGGAATTAAATAAGATACCTTCATTTCATTTGTTTCTACAATTCAGTAGTTGGTACTCCGCCTCTTAAAAGGAGTCTTACATCATCTATTGAAAATTTTATATTGGCTTAGTTGCTTTTACAGTATTTGTTTTAGTGTACCATTACACTGAAACATTTTCAGATCACAATTTGAATATAAGAGTAGATAAATTATCTTCCTTCACTCCAAATGGATATAATAGTCATAACTTGATACAGAAGTTTTCTTAATTATACTTTTTAAATTATGCTTGACCTCCAAGTAACTTTTTATCTTAACTGTTAATAATGTTGACTGGCTTGTTTCTGACCAGTTTCAAATGGAATAGTCACTCTATATTACAGGTTCATAAAAATCTTTAAATGTAAATGTTCATCATATCTTTTAAAGATAAGGTCTGGCTTTTCTTATCTCCTAGTTGTCATGAAGATTAAGTGAAATGAACATATTTATAGTTTATAATGTGTTTATAAAAATCTGTATTAAAAGCACTATTAACAATTTAATAATAATATGACAAGACATTTTTTAGAGGCTATTCCCTTGGGAAAATTAAATTTTAATCATGGGTCAGAATTGTAAAAGACTGAACGGAGGAGCCTGGTGGGCTGCAGTCCATGGGTTCGCTACGAGTCGGACACAACTGAATGACTTCACTTTCACTTTTCACTTTCACGCATTAGAGAAGGAAATGGCAACCCACTCCAGTGTTCTTGCCTGGAGAATCCCAGGGACTGCAGAGTCTGGCGGGCTGCCGTCAGTGGGGTCGCACAGAGTCGGACCTGACTGAAGTGACTTAGCAGCAGCAGCAGCAGTGTAATGCCTCACATTTAAAACATAATTTCTTGCTTCAGCTTGCCCCTCAATCAAAATCAGTTTTTAGGAAAGAGTATATTTTGTGACCAAAGTACTTTGTCCTTTAGTTGTTCTGTGTTTCAAAAATATGGAGCAGACTTCCTTGACCTTAGCACTTATCAAGCAGGGATTTTCTCTTTTAAGTGTATACTAAAACTGCCTTTTTTTCATGAAAATGACCTGTCCTCATATATTTTTAATTGCTTTGTGGTTTTTCATTGTGACAGAAATGTGAATGTAGTACAGAACATGTAATAGCTTCTTGTGGCCTCTGTTTTCTTTTGCAGCCTTCAAGCCAAATAAAGGTGCCTGAGGAGAATTTCTTCAATATTCCTGTTTTCTTAACTGTCTCAGGACAGCTTCATCTAGAAGTGATGTCAGGGTACAGAGTTTTCTTTTCTTTTTTCTCGCATGGGCTACTGTTTATGGGTTGGGTGAGAGTGTAATAATGTTCCTTTCCCAGTGCTAAAACCTAAAAATTGAAGTTAACGTTTGTGGTTAGTCCATGTCAGTTCACTAAAAGTACATTTAGATTAACACTTTGACAATATCCAGATTTCTTACTAAAAAAATCATGGTAGTATCCACTTTTCATTTTTGGTGAAGAATGTAACATTGGAAATATGAAGTGATTTTTTTTTTTCTTTTTACTAATCTTTTTTGCTTAAATCTCAAAATATATAATCAAAATATAAGTACAATTAATCATCTTTATGAAAGTAAAAACAGTTATAGTTCACACCGGAAAATTATAAGAGAGGTACTTGGAACAGATGGAAGAAAAAACTTTTTAAAATTATGGTTTAAATAAAGGAAATTAACTCACACAATCATCATGATGTGTGACCAATTAAAAAGTGTTAGAAGTCAGATCACATTAATTTTAGCCAGTCTTCAAATCTCTGGAAAGTCATTATAATCCTTTCAGTGAAATTTCCTTCTTTTTAGAGATTAAACAGGAAAATCTTTAAAGTACTCTTTAAATCTTATATTCTGTGGATAGTTTTCTTAATGCTGACTCAACAAGTACTGAGTCTCTACCCAGATATAAATATCTTTGTTTTCTCATACAGAGCTTGAGACTTAAAAATCTCTTTAGGAAATGGCTACAGTGAAAATAGGGAATCTTTATGTATTTCCCATTGTTTTCTAAATGTGCAGGTGGAAAAACTGAGGGGAAATAGTATTTGTGTCTTTTTTTTTAACGGACTTTACTGGCAGGATAAAGAATGTCAATGGTGGAATAAAGATAGTCTTGAAAATAATATATACTTAGATTCTTTTCTGATTTATCTTTGAGGAAGAAAGATACTAATTGATAATTACAGAGACCAAATAATAGAAAATATTATCAGAATATGGTATAGAAGAACTATTATCATAATAGCCCTGTGAGATTGTAGGAACTGCAGAATTGTTTGTGGGAAAGGCCATGTCAGGCATGTCATGGAAAGTTTCTTGTGCCTGTCAGTATAATTTTTAAAAATTTAAAACATGATTCATAGAAATATAAAGTGAACATGTATCAGATATTTTATTCAGTTATTACTGAGGAAATAAGTAGTAAGACTAGTTCAAAGAGCATTTGGGAAGCTGTGAATTAATAGCCAGTTTAATAAAGGAATTTTAGAATAAGATTGCTAGATTAGTTACAAACTACTTGATACCCTGCAGATCAATTAACTCTAACCTTTGGAATTTTCTCTTTTACCTGACAGAAATGATTTGCATCTCTGCTGCACAAAAATCTATAAGTTAACATGTAACTTTACTTAATCTGGGCTATTTATATTTAGTTCAGTAGTAAATAGAATAATGGAGCAAGCGCATCTCTTAGGTAATTAAATAAACTTTGAGTGTGTCCATAGCCTCATATTACATTGGAAGGATGTGCTGTCTCCCTATTAGCTTTATCCAAGTTGAGGATAACCTTTCTTAACCACCTTTCATTATTTGTTTCTTTTTATCTATAAAGCTAGAGAAAAGGTTAATTTCCCTCAAATGTGTCATAATGTGGGAAAAGTATAAGTTTGCCCAAGTTTTTCTGTTATAATATCAGTAGTGGATCATGTTCCCTCTTTACCAGTAAAGTACAGTGAACCACAGAATACACGGTACTGTGAAACTTGACCCAGGATTAAATGGACAGAATATGAGGGACTTTTTAGTGTGTTATGAAGTATTTCTGACAGGGGCAGTCAAATATCCCTAGTTTAATATAGTTTTAGTACTATTAGTACACAGTACATCATGTTTAAGATTAATGCATGATTTAGTCTCCTGTAAGAAATTGTTAGTCTTTTTTTCCTCAGCATTTTTTTCCTAAATTTTATTTAACAGACTTTTAAAATGGAGTAAATGGTAGCTATATTTAGAAGGCTAACATTTTCTAAAAGGATATCTGTGTTGCTTTAGTGGGTTTATGGCTCCATTTTAAAGTTTAATTTTGTTGTTGTTTTAAATAAACTTTCTATTTTTAATAATTTTTTTAACTAACATTTAAAAAAATAATTTTATTCATTTATCTTTGGCTGTGCTGGGTCTTTGTCGCTGCACGGGCTGTTCCCTAGTTTCGGAGAGCAGGGGCTGCTGTCTGGTTGCAGTGCGTTGTGCTTCTCATTACGGTGGCTCCTCCTGGCGCGAAACACAGGCTGCAGGGCATGCGACTTCAGTCGTTGTGATTCATAGGCTCAGCAGCTGCGGCTCTCGGGCTCTCGAGAGCAGACTCAGTAGTTGTGGTGCAGGGGCATAGTTGATCCCTCATGTGGTATCTTCCTGGATCAGGGATGGAACCCGTGTCTCCTATGTTGGCAGGTGGGTTCTTTACCACTGAGCCACTGGGGAAACCCTGAATAATTTTTAAACATAGAAAAGTTGCAGAGGTAGTTCAGACTTCTTGTATACCTCTCACCCAATTTCCCCTGTTGTTAACATCTTACACATTACCATGGTACATTTGTGAAAACTTAAGAACCCAACGTTAATACACTGCTATTAACTTTAATTCCAGACTTTATTTAGATTTCATTGTCATTCCATCAGTGCCTTTTTCCAGAATCCACTTTAGGATGTACTTAGCTGGTCAGTCGTGTCCACCTCTTTGTGACCCCATGGACATAGCCCACCAGGCTCCTCTGTCCATGGGATTCTCTAGGCAAGAATACTGGAGTGGTTTGCAATGCCCTTCTCCAGAGGATTTTCCCAACCCAGGGATCGAACCCAGGTATCCCACATTGCAGGCAGATTGTTTACCATCTGAGCCACTAGGGAATTACATTTAGTTTTCAGGTTTCCCTAGTCTCATCTAGTCTATGATGGTTTTTCAGTCTTTCCTTATTTTTCATGGCTTGTAGAAAGTATGCCAGTCTGGGTTTTTCTTACGTTTTTTCTTAAATTTCAGGAGGCAAAGGGAGTGGAAAGAACACCACAGGAGTGAAGTGCTCTTCTTGTCATATTATGTCAGGGAGAACTTGGTATCAATATGATGCTCTTTACATTCATTGCTTGTGTTACTTGCCAAGTTTCACCACTGAAAATGTACTGTTTTTCTCTTTCTCTGCTTTGTTCTTTGAAAATGAGTTACTGAGTGTACCCACCCTTACTGGAGGTAGGAGTGAGTGGTTGGGAAGTGGGAGATGGAATTATGCACCATGTCCTGGGGTGAGGGCAGTATTCAGAATTACTCTGTATGAATGATTTGTTGTCTCTTTGCTCTGATTTATTTATTTATGTCATCATTTATATCAGGATCGACTGATGTATATTGTATGGTTTAGGCTTTATTTCAATGCTCTGCTTTTTACTTTACTGCTCAGATTGTTTTAGTTGTTGGGAATTCTTATATTTTAATTCTTGTATCCCTTTCACATGGCCCTATCCTTTTGTCTTTTAAGTACCTCCTTACTCTCTGGTACTGTAAGATACCAAGATTTGTTCCTCTGTTAGTTTGTTTTACTGTTTTGTAATTGATGAACCCACACTGATACAGTACTGTCACTCAGAGACCATCGTTTACTTAGGGGTCACTCTTGGTAGTGCATGTTCTGTAGGTTTGGAGAAGTGATGTCATACAGAGTAGTTTCACTGCTCTAAAAATGTATGCTTTTCCAAATCATCCCTCCCTCCTCCTTTTCCTCCCTCCTGATCCCTGGCAACCCCTGATCTTTTAACTGTCCCCAAAGTTTTGCCCTTTCTAGAATGTCATAGAGTTGGAATCATACAATATGTAGCCTTTTCACATTTTCTTCATTTAGTAATATGTATTAATATTTAATATTCCATATATTTTCATGGCTTGATGGCTCATGTCTTTTTAGCGTTGAGTAGTATTTCATTACATTGATGTATTACATCTACTTTTGCTTTATTGACTATGCCAAAGCCTTTGAATGTGTGGAGCACAATAAACTGTGGAAAATTCTTAAAGAGATGGGAATACCAGACCACCTGACCTGTCTCCTGAGAAATTTGTATGCAGGTCAAAAAGGAAGAGTTAGAACCGGATATGGAACAATGGACTGATTCCAAATAGGAAAAGGAGTACGTCAAGGCTGTATATTGTCACCCTGCTTGTTTAACTTGTATGCAGAGTACATCATGAGAAATGCCGGGCTGGATGAAGCACAAGCTGGAATCAAGACTGCTGGGAGAAATATCGGTAACCTCAGATATGCAGATGACACCACCCTTATGGCAGAAAGCGAAGAAGAACTAAAGAGTCCCTTGATGAAAGTGAAAGAGGATGTGAAAAAGCTGGCTTAAAACTCAACATTCAGAAAACTAAGATTGTGGCATCTGGTCCCATCATATCATGGCAAGTAGATGGGGAAACAATGGAAACTGTGACAGACTTTATTTTCTTGTGCTCCAAAGTCACTGCAGATGGTGACTGCAGCTGTGAAATTAAAATACACTTGCTTCCTAGAAGAAAATCTATGACCAACCTAGACAGCATATTAAAAGCAGAGACATTACTTTGCCAACAAAGGTCCATTTAGTTAAAGCTATGGTTTTTCCAGTAGTCATATGTGGATATAAGAGTTGGACCATAAAGAAAGCTAAGTGCTGAAGAATTGATGCTTTTGAATCCTGATGTTGGCAGAGACTCTTGAGAGTCCCTTGGACTGCAAGGAGATCCAACCAGTCAGTTGTAAAGAAAATCAGTCCTGATTATTCACTGGAAGGACTGATGCTGAAGGTGAAGCTCGAACACTTTGGCCACGTGACGCGAAGAGCTGTATCATTTGAAAAGACCCTGATGCTGGGAAAGATTGAAGGCGGAAGGAGAAGAGGACGACAGAGTATGAGATGGTTGGATGGCATCACTGACTCAATGAACATGAGTTTGAGTAAACTCTGGGAGTTGATGATGGACAGGGAGGC